GCCCAAAGCCTTCCCGGAGCCCGGCGGGCCGCTCGCCGAGGGTCCCGGGCACTCAGCGGGTCCGCTCAGGGTTCACGCTGCGTCTGGACGCGTGGGGCGTTGCGACTCTTCTCCGTTCTTCTACGTATTAGAAAAATAGCAGTATTATGAATGTTGATGTGGGTGGGCGAGATTGTATGAGAGGCTCATATCCCTGCGCACGCCCTTCCACGTGTAGGGTTCAAAGTTCTCTGCCGCGTGCGGCCAAGCCTTAGCTTAGCTCTGCAAAAGTTTTACACCCCTCGTTCGCGCGGTGCCAACATCGACAGGCCCACTTTCTGCCCTCTATATTGCGGGTACTTTGCGGAGCGGACAACTCAGGCCTGAAAAAGCTGCAAATGTCACTGATAACCGGACAGAAAATATATCTGATAAGGACATGCTCGAAGTGTGGGTGTGAGCGGGAATAGGAAGTTAAGACACCAGGGAAATGCTTGACCAGAAAAGTGGCCTAACTGGACGTTCCGAATCACCTTTTATTTCTTTGCAGAAAGAATACAAGTATAGTGTGCACTTTGGAAAGTGCAGAAAATGGGGGGGGGGGATTAAATGAACATTCAGAGATAAACATTAACTTCTGACTTAGGGCCTTCCAAACATTTTACTCACTTGCATATAGGTTTATTTTAGATTTTGGTTTTACATAATCGGAGTCATCTTGTGCATAGTCTTCTGTAGACTTAATCCCTCCCACTCATTATGTAATGAACTTCGCTTCGCGTTACTTTATATTCTCTTGCATAAATTAATGGACACATAGTATTTATCATATTAATATCCTCATTTATCCATACATCAAGTTGGACCTTAGGTTTGGGTCCTTAAATATTTAGTATTTAAAATATTAGTAAGATTGGTATTAAATATTTCTTATAAATATCTTATTAATATTAAGTATTAATATTGTATAGGCAGAATAATCGCCCCCAAAGATGTTAGTATCCTAATCCCCAGGACCTGTAGTTACTTGGCAAGTGGAATTAAGATTGCGAATTAACTGATTTTAAGATAGAAAAATTATCCTGGATTATCTATTAGGCCTGATGTAATCACGATGGGCCTTCCTAATTGGAAGAGGAAGATAGATGAGAAGCAAAGACAGATCTGTGATGATGGGGACCAGCAGGTGGCATAGTGGTTAAGGCCTTGGGTTCCCTCGTGGTTGACCACAATTCTAGGCCCAGGCCCATTGAAGCCAGGTGTGTGTGCATGTGTGCATGTGTGCCAGCCCAAATCACAGCGTGGCCATCTCTCCAGACGCTCTCAGTCTCTGGTAAGTACATGCACCCTATAGCAAAAATCTCTCAAAAAAAAGATGTGATGATGAAAGAAACATCCAAGAAATGCTGTTTTTCATTTTGCTTTGTTAGTAAATTTATTTTTAACTTTATTATTTTAATAAGACATTCTGGGACCAGCAGGTGGCATGGTGGTTAAGGCGCTGGACTCCTACATGGATGACGTGGTACAAGTTCCCAGATTCTGGCGGGTTGGTTTCTTTCTTTCCCCCTCTCCCTCTGTCTCTGGTCAAATTAAAATAAATAAATAAACTTAAATAAAATAATTCTTTTTAAAAAGAATTATTTTATTTAAGTTTATTTATTTATTTTAATTTGACCAGAGAGGCACAGAGTGAGAGAGAAAGCAAGCCACCAGGTTCAGGACTTGAACCGCAGTTGGCCATGTGGGAGTCCAGTGCCCTTAACCACCATGACACTTGCCAGCCCCAAATAAATAATTATTAAAAAAAACAAAGAAATTTCATGTTGCTATAGAAAGGAAAAAGAGGACCATGAGTCAAGAAATATGGGCAGCCATTAGAAAAGACATGGAAGTGGTTTCTCCACTAGAGCTCTAATATCTCAATTTTAGCCCCCAAAACCTGGCAGACTTCTGAAACACTATGATACTATAAATTTGTGTTGTTTTAAGTCATTATGTTTATGGCAATCTGTAAACAACAATAGAAAACTAATAATGAAGATCCAATGAAGATCCCAGCACCCAACTCTGTCAATTTTTTAAAAAGTTTTAAAATTATTTGTATAGGACAGATAATAGGGAGAGAGGCACCCAACAGGGTGCTCATGCTCAGGGAGGTCCCCAAAGGTGAACTCAGACCTGTCCTGTGTGAGTCCAATTGAGTTTCTGCTGTACCCCACTGTCAGATCATACTCCCTCTCAGTTTTTCACTATGAAACACGTTAATAAACATTCTTGTAGACAAATGTGTACATTTTTTATTACTTCCTTAGGATAAATTCCTAGAGGAGGAATTGCTGAGTCAAAAGTTTTGCACATTTTGAGGTTTATAATATGAACTGCCAGTTTGTTTCTAGAGAAGTCAAACCGATTTACATTCCAGACATAAGTGTATGTAAGTACCTTTTTGCACCCTTGATAACACTGGTTTGTTTTTATGTTTTTTTTTTTTTGGTCATATTTCACTGTAATAGTCTACTCAGCGAGAAATAAGAGGACATCCAGACATAGCCAAATTTATTAGAGTTTATTGATTAAGCCGGTGGCATGTGGGGGAGAGGGGCTCATGTCTCTCAAAACCCCATGCCCCATAGTGAAAGATGAGGGATGTTTATAAAGGCAAAAAAATGTGCAATCCTGCTTGGGATGACATAATTCAGAAGGGTAAGGTGCAGTGGGTTTGAGTGGGGGAAAAGGGTAGGGGTAGGGTTTTACCCATAAAAGTAAAGCAAGCAAAAGGGCATCACAGAAGCAGACAAAGGCAAGTTTACCATCCCTGAGGGTATGTCCTATCTCTACCTAAATAAGATGGAATCTTAATGGTGTCTGTGGCTCAGAGCAAGGTCTGGAGACTGGACCTTAAGGCAACTAGAAGAAGTGGGGTTTAAAGACAATAGGAGTGTTAATTTACTCTGTTCTTAGGCACAAAGGAAAAGGCAAATTTCCAGTCATAGTAGTCAATTTATAAGATGGGATTGCCCCTGCTTCATCCCTACTTCACATTTTTCACTATTTCACACTGAAGATTTTCCATATGCTTCTTGTCCATTAGCACTTTTCTACTGGGATGGTTGTATATTTCTTCTTTATCCTTCTATATTAAGGATATTAACCGTTACTCTCATATATGTTGTGACTATTTTCCCAATTTTTAAATTTACGTTTTAATTCATTTAATTTTACAGAAGTTTTTAATAGTATGCATTCACACACACATACTTATGCATATTTCAAATCTGTTGGTTTTTCTTTTTGGCTCCAGTGCTTAAACAGGGCTCGATCACCTCAGAATCAACTAAATATGTGTCCATGTTTTCTTCTGATTCTTTGGCTATAATATTTATTCTTCAACTTTTACCTTTTACTTAACCTGAAATTTATTTTGGCACTTTACATGTAGTCGGTTTCAGAATAATTTCTAATGATCCAGCCTCGTTATTGCTTTAGTTATTTAACCAATGCCCAGCAGTGTCAAATCCTTCAGCTTCAAAAGCACTCAGAGGTAGTGTGAGAAATAAAACTGTCAAGGTCAAGAAGACCTGTACACTATTAGTAAATCTGCCTCCTCCTAAGCTCAGCCCCTCCTATGCCATCCCAGGTGTCTGGAGTGATGGCAGATAGGAGTATGCAGGCCAAGGTGGGCCCTCAGAGTCCCTCTGCCTTGGCAGCTTGCAGCAGGGGCTTCCACCTGGCTTCCCAAAGAACTGTGAAATACCACTCCCAGTTCTGTTTCTTGCCCTGAGAACATTCCAGTTGTTCCCTGCGGCCAGGCCTGGCACCTGGCTCTTTTCACCTCAGAAGTCATGTAGCCATCTCTACTCCCTTCACCCTTTGCCAATTTCAGACACTGGGAAAACTCACAGGTGTTTAGACAGGTTAAACCAGGCACCCAACTGGTGGTAAATCTCACGCTCCTAAGAGCTGATCTAAATAAATGAGATCCCCATCTTTTCCCTAAACTAGGCCCTTTTCCCAGAAAGATGGCCAGAGATGTAGTTTAGTTTCACTTTTATGCAATTCAGAGTGTGCGAGAAGTGCCGTAAAAATATCTTTTCACACTCGTAACCTTCCAAGTACTTCTCTGAGAAGCTGGGAGAAATCTGTGTCATCAGCAAATGATACCAAGGCTGCATTCTTTTTCTCCACCTTCTATTGTATGCTTGTTGGCAGGTTTCGAAGCACTTGTGGCTTGTTCTCAGCACACTCCTGGGCTCAGCAGCAACTTCTCCATTGGGGTTGGGTCACAGCCATAGTCTGAGAGCCAACTGCAGGGGTTGCAATCCTCCTGTCATTCCTGAGAATGCCTGACTCTCAGATGCAAACTCTGCTGTCATTTCCTGTATTTTCCACACCAAGTTAATGTCTGACTGAGGCTGAGCCCTGTGCTGGGCTGGCAGAACATCTCACCTCATTGCTGGGGACTGTGCTGACTTTGATGAGCTGACTTTGATGGGCTGCACCCCCGGGATTCCCTTGCCCTCTGGCCTCTAGTTGGGTTAGGATGGATGCTGAGAGGCATCAGTAGGAGGTCAGAGGACTGGAGAAGAGCAGACTGGGCTGTTTGCTCTCCTGGGTCCATCCTTGATGAGCCATTTTCTTCCAAGTGGCTTTTTCTCGGAAGGCAATAAATAGTTTGCTCAGGTGTCTGCTTCCTGCAGTTCTCACGAGCTTTCTGTCACCACTTCCTCCTCTGTTGGCCCTTCCAGCACAGGGGATGGCGCTTCACAGTCCTGCCCTATTCTTGCAAATAGATCATGGAACTATCATTAGACACCTCTGGGGAATGGGCCACCCTTCCTCTGCCTGGAGGGCTTTGCAGGTGGGGTCCATCTGCTCCTGTCTTCCGTCCAGGCAGGTTCCCTCTTGTGGGACCCTTCAGGTTTGACAGGTTGTGGCTCTTTCTGATCTATGCTTGAAATGGATATGGTAATAAGGGAAGTGGTCCATAGCCCTGGTCATGCAAATCCTTGCCACTTGGTAAGCTAGCAGCATTGCTATCACCTAGGAGCCTTCTGGAAATAGACACTCTTGGGCTTCTCTCTGGCTCTACTGAGTCAGAATCTGCTTTTTAAACAAGATCGCCAGGTGATGCA